CTCCCCTGGCAGAGCTTGAGTCTGTGCCCTCTTGTCCTGCTGCTAGTAAGACAGTTCATGTTCATGACACTGTGGGGACAGGCTGTGGATTTTCTTGTTGAATGAAGAACACAGGAAGAAAATCTAGGGACCTAACACACTCTGAGTGGATGAGACAGGTGGTTAGGGCAATGTGCTGGGCAGCAAAGCTGTACCAATTAACACACTGCTCACGGGGGTGACTTAGAGCCCTACATCTCACACCCTGCACATCCATCCTCCGAAGAAATACCTGGTGTGTCTGATACCTGAGCTCACTATAAAACATCTCTGCTGATCAGCATCTCTCCTGCTTTGCTCCTCCCCAAGAAAGATTGCTGGTGCACCAGAAGTAATTCAGAACAGGCAGTTCTGAGTGTCAGATGTGGTTAGACAGTTACTATTTGAATAATGACAGTCGTTTTTCTTCGTAAAGTAAAAAGCAGGGCAGCTGAACCGAGCAGAACCAGATCTAAGGCAGGCAAGTTGCACTCGAGATAAGCTACACATCCCTTATTTGTACATGGAATTGAGCCTTGTATCTCGGCCTGACAGGTGGGGACCTGTGGCACATGGCAGCTGAGCAGCTTCCCAGGCTACACAGGAATCCTTTGGCTCTGCAGCATGGGCAACCCATGGCACAACCCGTGCCCCAAGCCCTGGGTCACCTCTCTCCATCCTGCCCCACCAAGGGACTGCAGAACGTGCTGCTAAGAACTAAATTTTTAACTGGGTGTGTGCTTTAAAGAGTTAGTCTGATTGCTCTGAAGTTCTATTTGTCAACATATTTCTGTGGTTGTTTGGGTAACCTTTACCATTGTGGGTGGTTTTGGTTGTGATGAATAATATTAAGATGAAGCCTCAGCTGAAACGTGCTGATCACTCTCTCATTCTATGGCTTTCACTTGCATTTGAGGCTGATCACTGTTTGCCAGCACTAGCCTGGACACCTGATGCATCCTGAAGGTTTTCCTGACCATGGCTAATTTCACTGCAGGGAAGCAGGAGATGCTGAGACAGGGATTGCCTAAGAGGCTGTGCAGCAGCAGCAGCAGAGCACACTCATGCCAAGCCTGGCAAGGGAACCACCATCGCAGCATCTCTCCGTGAAAATCACAGCAAGACCTAACAGCTCACTTTATCTCAGAAGAGCCTTCTGGATAAAAGGGATTTGAGGGTAAAGCCTCCATAATCCTTTGGGTTTGCTTTCTTTTAATACTATAAAGCACAAACCCAAACTTTCTAGTCAGGAAAAGCATGGCTTTTGTTATGTTCTGAGTCACTTCTCCCCACCAGCAAAGTGGCTTTTCAGTGCAAGTCTTGAACATTTCAGAATGAAATGTGAACCACACTTCAGACACAGACCATCAGAGAAACACAACCAAAGCCTTCTCTGCCCCCCAAACCAGCAGTGAAGGCTGTACCTGATACAGCCACGGAGTACTCAGTACTAGGCTGGAGAAAGGAACTTCCATGGGTGCAATTTCACAGCTCTAGATGAGCAACTGCAGTGAAAATGCCCAACCACTGGGTGCTCACAACACATGGTGGTGCACACTGACAGGTCAGACCATACTGCGACCGCCTAGACCGAGAGCACCGCGATGCTTAACACATGGACAATCACTTGTGGCAATATATGCAGCAACCTCACTCTGCTCCCACTAAAGTCAATGTTGGGTTTGCTACTGGTCTTTATGATTGCAGTGTCCAGCTGAACTATTAATTTGGCATCGGTTTCCCCTTGCAAGGAACATGTTTGAATCAAAGAACCAGCCAAACTGCCAGGAGCTGCCCACCTAAGAATAAGCAGGATATGTTCAAAGAAAGCTTTACTCTAACTTATATTCATTCCTAAAGGCTAAATCAGCTGGCTCACAAGAAAGAAACAGCATTGTCTCACTTATCAATGTCCCACTGTTCTTCTAGAACATCTGCAATAGTTTTGCCTGCAGCACTACCCCATTCATTACAGGCCTTGATAGACTGCTCAATGGGCTTTTTTTCATTGGTACAAAATGTACAAGAGCATTTTACAAAGTGGACTTTGCCCTGATATGAATAATCATTAAAAGAAAATAATTAATAAGTGCATTTGGTTTCAGATTCTCCATTTTCCAAACTAACCTTTGGCAAATGGGAACAAAATGGCAACAGCTAAAACCTAAGAGCTCAGCCCGTGGCAGGGAGCAAGCAGAGGGATCCTGCAGAGTGTTCTGCTGGGCTGCCAGAGTGCATTGCCATCTACCAAAAATGCAGTCAATGAAAGGCCAAGTAGAATATAAATACCATAGAAGACCAAATTGCAGCATGAGCAAACAGCAAATATCCACACCCACCCTAAGGAGGCCACATTGGTGCTGTGCTGAGGAACAGGAGGGATTTACACACCCTAAACTTCACCCTCCCTCCAACAACCAGCCCATAGCAGTGAAGTGCAGTGCTTACCATCATCCAGGTAGGCTTGGTCCAGGTTCTGCTCCTGTTTGATGGTGACTCCTGCTGGTAGCACCTCTTTCTGCTCACTGCCCGCAGCTCCGTTCTTGGCCGCTCGCTGGCCCGGGGCTGTCTGCTGCTGGATCACCGTGGGGTACGAGCCTGGGCTCAGCCTCTGCGCCTGGCTGACCTGGGGCTGGCTGGATCTTGTCACGTTGGAGCTGAAATTTTCACAGCACATGATGTGCTGGAACTCTTGGTGACTCCCACATCTGAGCGGTTGGTTGGTCGGCGAGTAGTGAATCACGGGAGAAGACTGCTGGGTGCCTGGAGAGTGGTGGAGCACCGCGGAAGTTTGGCCTGGAGAGCCAGTGTGCATCAGCACCGACCTGTGGGCATCTGAGATGGCAACTGGCGTGGCCATCAGGTTGGACTGCTGGTAGCCCAGCTGGCTCGGGCTAAGGCTCTTGCTCCTCTGGTAGATGACGGCGGGAGGGTTCGGCTGGTGGTACCGCGAGTCGGGAGAGGGAAGGCCTGAGCGCAACTGCTGGCAAGGAGCCATAGTGGCCACGAGACAGGAGGGGGACTCGGTGGCCATTGTGTGCTGTGAATAGTAAGGCTGTGTTACTGTTCCCAGACCACTGTGTACTGTATTGCAGATTAGGGCTGGATCATAGTCATCAATGGGCTCTGTTTTGATTGATGGTACTAGAACAAAGCATGCAAAGGATGTTATTCGTAACGAGCTGGTGAGAAGCAGAGAAGTTTTCCTTGAAGCAATAAGAGATTTAAGCCATTGACAAGATTTACATGTGTGAGCTTGGATCTTGCAGGCTCAGAGATTAATAAACAACAAATATGCAACCATGGCAGAGTCTCCCTGGAGAGCACTCTGCACTAAGAGGGTCCTGAAAAATCTTTTAACACCCTAATTAACCACAAATTTCTAGAATTGGAAAATTCACTACTCCAGCTCATGTTTTACTTCATTCAAAGGCCATTCTGGAGCACATGCGAAATAAGAAGACAGAGATAGGTGTTCCATGCAGCACTTCCATCTCAAAGGAAGAAGGAATACATAGAAATCCTGTGACACATACAACTGCTCATTTGTATGTCGAACATTTAACTAGTAACCAAAGTCAGAGCTGAACCATTTTAGAGCTTTCTGTTTAGTCCCTTTGCTACGTGTCTCCCTCAGTGCTGAGAGCTGAAAACCTCCCTGACACCATCATCTAAAAGATCATGATTTAGTGAGAGCTGTGTGAATCTCGGTGGGATAAATGATGTTCCTCTACAGGCAAATTCTCACCTTTCTAATGACTTCTTTGTTGGATCTTCCCCAAAACTAACTACAGAAACACCATACAATGGAAACCATATAATGTTCCTTGGAAGTGTTGGAAGGATTCCTTCTCTAAGTGCTCTGGTTTAGGGATTGTGTTGAGGTAGCAGTGTACTTCTCAATACTGTTCCAAAGCAGAATTTAGCAACTATACAAAACCTTCCCATCAGTGATACCCTACAGAGTTCATAAATTCAGGGAGAGAACCAGGGATTTCCAGGCTGGAGGAATAAGAATCAGGATGAGTGTTTGCCCGTCCTTAGAGACAAGTCAAATTAAGACATCATTTGAAGCTTGCATAAAATCTGGGACTGTTATTTTATGCTTTATGGTTTCCACAAACATAATACTCTGATTTTCTCACCATATTTTCCCTCAGCCAAAGCTGAGAAATTCTGGGAATCTCATTAGCAATCCTTTTGCATTCATTGTGACATGGCTCACCAATTCCCAAGGGAAAGAACATCAGAAAGACATTTATATTTTTCTCAACCAGCCTCATTCTGAAGAATATGTATTGCTTGCCTTCCTCCATACCAAGCCCCTGTTGCTTTCCCAGATCTGATGTTATCTTACTGTTGGACACGTCAGCAGGGGAAGGCAATGCTCATGGTATTCACAGGGTCACATCATGTCACAGACCAAGTCTGTTCCCACTGAGGCTGTTGGCAAACTTCCACCAAGAGAATGGGGCAACACCAGCCCATGGCCAAAACAACTGACACCTTAAACTGATGGAAATTCCTGAGCATAAACCACATGCAACCTTTAAACCAAACAGCTGTGGAGTGCTTAGCTGCACTCGGCTGAATTAAATCAGTAACATTTAGATCCTCAAAGAACGGCAGGAAAACAACACAGCAGAAGATAAATTTTGCTGGTGAGAACTAGGCAACAAGTGGCTCTGCCCTGGAGAGTTACCTGGGTGGTAGGTAAAATGTTGGGGTTGGCTTCTTTTCCGCTTGCCGTTGATGACGTAGAAGTTGACCTTCACGGCCGTGCGGATGTGCTTGTTGCGGTACTCCGGTACCTCGACAAAAAGCATGCTCTGAAACAAAACCAGGGACAGCATGAGGTCAGGGACCCAGGCTGACCACAGGGGTTTGTGTGCACCTCCCCTCGGTACACAGCCAGGTGGGAAAGAAGAGGAATAGTCCTACTCATCCCTACAAAGAAGGGTCCAAGGAGAAGAAAGGGGAAAAAAGGGCAGATGGTGAAAGGCTAGAAGACTCTGGGTACTAGTAAGCTGTTTTCTATGCACTGTATGCTCTCCTGTCCTGGATGTTGTCCTGAACTTAGAGAGAGAAGTCTCAGCTACAAATAAAACACATGAGATGGTGATAAATGAATCACAATAATCAGAGTTGGAAGGGACCCTTGAGGATCATCAAGTCCAACTCTTGGCCCTGCACAGGACATCCCTGAGAATCACACCCTGTGCCTGAGAGCACTGGCCAAACACCTCTGGAGCTCTGTCAGTGCCCTGGGGAGCTGTTCAGTGCCCAAACACCTCTGGGAGAAAAATCATTTGCTAATCTCCAGCCTAACCCTCCCCTGACAGCTTCAGACCATTGCCTGGGTCCTGTCCCTGGTTGCAGAGAGAAGAAGTCAGTGCTGCCCCTGCACTTCCTTTTGTGAGAAAGTTGTACGAGGCAGCACTGTTAACCACACAGTGCTTGAGAAACAAGGAAGCCTTGCAGGATTCCCTCTTTTTGTCAGAATAAATGGAATTATTCTATAGGCTTTTTACTTATACACTTCCTTTCCATGGAAATTTACAGCAAGTGTCCCATTCTCCTCCACAAGGGCAGGCATGGCCCATGGCAATGGAAGTGCTGCTCCTAAAGGCACTGGCTGACTACAGGAAGGTCCCAAACAAAGAGGCTCATTCCCTTGAAAGATCAGTGTTCATTTGAAATGCTTAGGACAAATCCTGTCCTGCAAAGGACACAGCACCCAAGCCTTCCACAGCAGTGAGAGGAGCAGGACAGCAGCATCCTGCAGAGGCCTAGGCTGGTACAATAGTCCTCTGCAAGCACACAGAATCCCACAGTTATTCCATGTGCTGTGGGTTACTGCTAAATGAATAGTTTCTTTTTGCAGCACATTTACTGCTGAAGCATTTGACATTTGCTCATCACAGCAGCAAGTTAGCTGCTCTCTCTGCTTTGAGACCTCTTTCACAGCCACCCCTTGAACACAGCTTGCTCTCTGAGAAGCTCACGGAGAGCACATCCAGTGTTTCCATACTTACAGGCTGGCTCTTGTCCTTGTCCACTGTGGCCTCCATTTCCCAGATCTGCTGCCCATCTGGAAGAACATCACAATATTAACCTCACTGTGCTTTTTTTTTTTCTTTTCAATCATAAAACTTGACTTGAATTAAAAAAATTAAAAAGCAGACAAGTTAAGGGCATCAAGTTAGCAAAGCTCTCAAAATGGACTTGATTTCAAGCACCTTCCCAGTCCTAAGCAAAAGCAACAGCATTTAATTTAAACACATCATAGAACACTTGTCTCGCCAGGGAAACACTTACATACACATTGATTTAAATGTTTCTGTAGAAATTAGCCAAACTGAGGAATGAAATATTCAGCACAGGTGCAACATCTGCTCTTTCATAGCTGAGTCAGCCAGCCTGAGTGATGCAGAGCAGCACAAGGTCAGGTAACGTGGTAATGGTACTTCAGTCAGCAGCTCAGCAAACTCTGTGCCCCTTTTAGCCCAGACCACAACCCAATGTCATCAACAGTCCTAAAGCCACTGTCAAGCACCAAATACTGTCCTCAGTGGAAAAGCACTTCACTGCATGTGTGGCAGCCTCTAGCTCTGACCCACTGGAAGTCTTTCTGCTCTTCCATGACATCCCTGCAGCTCATCTCCATTCTGAGCTACACAAATTGTATTTGCAGAGGGAAATAAAACTTGATCCCTTTGTATGCAGCACCACCAAAGTAACTCTGTGCTGTGAGAGCACATCAGCAGTGACAGGACATTGCTACACAGACTTGGTCACAAATATTCCTTAAACCCACTGTCTTCCCAGACAGATTTTTAAGCAATGTTTCCTTCTTAATTATTTTTTATAGATTTGAATCTTTACATCTTATTTTACATTCCATTGAGCCTCTGAGCCAAGCAATTTGCAGAAGAAAAATACTGATGGGGGGAAAAAAATTTGCCTCATCCCCTTCTGAAAGTTTGATTTTAAAATGGACGTGGGACACATATCGAAAAAAAATTTGCCTCATCCCTTTCTGAAAGTTTGCTTTTAAAATGGACGTGGGACACATATCCAAAGGAACCAACGTGACTGGGAATGCTGCAGCCTCAGGGCTGTGCTTGCTTTAGGGGGGAAACAGCTCTGGGAATGTTTCTTTGGGGGTTCCCCAGGCTGGAAGTCTCCTACAAACACTCCTCACAGGACTTTTTATTTTTCCCAACTGTTGGAAGTTCTGCAAGAGCTGCTTTTGTCCTCTGTTATTTAAGTACTTCTGCTTCTGGCAAAAAGGGAAATGAAAGAGTATTTTTAAATGCATTTTTTCTGTTGTTTTCCTCTTTGTTCTGTGCTCGGCCCAGACAATGGGCTGACAGATGTGTCAGGCTGTCCCAGCAGCCTCTTCCCAAGATGGGCTCAGCAGCTGCTCCATGGCCAGGACACAGCTCTGCCTGCCCCAGCTCCATGTCCTCTCAGCCCAGGGGTCCTGCCCAGCATGCCAGAACCTCACCTGCCCCAGCACCTGAGACACCTCTGCTGTGGCTTTGTCCTCAACACACACTGAGAGAAGGGTTTGCCTTGAGGCTGTGACCCACACCGTGCCCCTTCCACCCTTCAGGATGGGCTCCCCAGGGCTCGTGGTGGGCAGGAGTGAGCACCCAGCACTGCCTGGGCTCCTCATCCTTCCATCTGAGGAGGAGCCTCATGGCAGAGAGGGAGAGAAAGTCTTGGGCTTCCAGCTCCTCTGGCTGCTACTGCCACAGCATCCTGCTGCAAGGAGGAAATACTACATAACTCAGACTTTTTTCTTTCTTTTTTAAGTGTTTTAAGTTCCCCTCAGTGACTCAGTTGTCTTCTCTACACCAGCATGGGGATGAGAGGCTGCTGGAGTGGGGATGTCCTAAGCAAGGGCTGGAGCCCATGAGGCTCTGCCCCGTTCACTGCTCAGCATCCCGAGGGACCACTGAGCAAAGGAATGGAAAATACTCCATTTTTTAACATAATTTAACATAAGCATTCACTTATGCCACTGCTCTGGGCTGTGGCATGTTCAATCTACACCCCTATTAATGCAGCTGT